AGTACCATCCCTAGAGCTCTGTTTACATGGTAAAAACTGTCAACTGCCCCTATGCCTGGCTGATTCCAGACACTCCCAGGAGGTTCCTGGCACCTGCCCCTGCCCCATTGTCTCCTCTGGGATGGCCCTAGTGGGCAAAAGCTCTGCAAAGCACAAGGATCCTACTTTGTCTCAACTTGTCTCTCTGTCTGATATGTATCCCTGCAGACCCTAAATGGTGATGTGGTTTCTCCAAACAGACAGGCTTTTTAAAGTAGGGAAATGTTAAATAGGTATCTCTTTAGCCTTACACCGCACTTTATTGATCAAAAATACTCGCACTCACAACTGTGTGCGTCTGAGATACTTAAGGGTAAATATACTGACCTTCCAATTAGTGAGCAACTCACTCCTTTTGAGCTGTTGCTGCACATGGCTAAAACCCAGCTGGTTTTGTAATACTACATCTAGCTAGAGAGTTGCTGTTGTACTGTTTCCAAACGTAAATGGGTTTTGCATGAGTTAAGGCAAAATGCCCATGGAAAGCAAACACTGATGTTAAAATGAAAAAGAGTTGCCTACTGCTATTCCTCCACTGGGTGTATCTCTGTCTGTCCCACTCCTCTCTGTTCTGGCCTGTGTGTCTCTCTGCCCTGGGCTACAGTTGCTTTGATGGGCAGCATGGGAGGGGGTTGGCATATTTAATTCCCAGATGAGAGGTTTGACATGGGATGGAGGCAGGGTGAAGAAAACGAGACACTTCAATCATAGACTGACAGTTTTCACTATTGTGGATTTGTGTACGCACATTCTTAGGGTGTGTATGTGTGTGCGTGTGCATGTGCAGCATTAGCTGTAGAAATTCAGTGACATGCTTAAGCTTTTCTAGTATCTTCAGTGTCTTGTTTTGAAAGCGATGTTTTGAAGTATGTATTTTAGTTTTCTGTGTGCATTGTCTTTTTAGGGCCATAAATAACAGCTATCTGTTCTAGCAATCTGTTCTTAAAAAATATAATAATAATAATAATTATAATAATGATGGGGCCCTTGCACCCCAGGGTTCAGGGCTTTATGTACCCATTCACATGGGTGTCAATTAGAAAATGTATGCGTGACACCTAATTTAAAATTTTATGATTTGAATTTTTAAAATTTGCTGTGGTGCACTACAACAAAAGCTACACAATTTAGCATGGCTGAGGTCTGTAGTTCAGCCTGACCAAATTTAAAGTTGAACCCTTTAAAGTTGAACTTTAAAGGGTTCACCACTAGATCACTTCACCACTAGATCAGTAGATTGCAGCCTAGTGAGAGGAAAAACAGTGTAATCAACATTGTACCACTGTGCCCCACAATGGCTGCAGCCACCAGGTTTCCATTACTGTTTGGATCCTCCTGGAGTTTTTCCCCTATCCGTAGAAAGCTGTTTACTCACTGTTTACCTCAGCTATCAATGCCGGGTGAGAAGCACCAAGTTCTGTTTAGGCTATAAGACTTCTGACCGATGACAGCAATATTGCGATATCAATACAATGATAGAAAATTGCTCCCAGCATGACCTGGAAACACCTTCAAACACACCATTCCTGTTCTTCAAATTAAGTCTTGCCACAAGAACTCTGTATTGCTTGGTAGACCACAATAAATTGCTTGTTGGCACAATACCAGCCTTAATTTAGCTGAAATTCTGAATGTTATCTAATAACCAAATAAAAATGGTGAAATTTAGCTTTGATGACTTCCTAGTCCCAGTCTTGTTACATTCTTGCGTGCAGGTATTCCCCCATGCTCCATTTCTATGTAATCTGATTTTAGAAACATTAACTTTGTGGTTAATTTACAAGTTTTGTATCAGGACTTATGGTGAGGCCATATTACAGAAGACCATGGGTGGGCCCTTAATGTCTATTGACATGGTCCCTGGGATGATTAACGGACAAAAACAGTGGATAGCGGTGCCTAGCCCATTAAGCTTGATCTTAAATCATTCACAGAGAACTTTGGCTAAAAGAGGATTACAAATGTCCGTTATTTAACTATGATTATTCTAGGTAATTTCTTGTGGTGTGAGTTTTTAATTAGTATTCAGGGATTTGTATTTAAAATGACTTGCATTTATACGTATAGAAGGAAATCATGGGTGGCTCCTTTTAAATGTTCAGGTCATCTGCTTTCATAACCGCATCTCAGTGTATGCAAGCAAACACTTCAGCATTGACCCTCCAGTTTATGAAGTTTGAATGCCTACAGTCACCCCGTCCACGGACCACTCAAGAGAAAAGCCTGACAGTTGCATAGACTCATCTCATTCAAACCAAACTAACAAATGAAGGGATCTCTGTATGTCTGTCTGACATCTGTCTAGCCTATCTGTGTAGCCTATCACTACAACCGTTCATTCAATTCTATTCAGACTTCAAAGGTGTGTTACTAAAGACGAAAGAAGTGTGTGGATATTGCGCTCCTCTGTGACCTCATTAAAATCTCAGCAGTTTGGAAGTTTTTATATAAACCTCAGATGACGGTGACATCTCCCTTTGTCGATGCCAACAAAGGACAGTGTAAATAATGGCTATTGCAGAAACTGTTGGGAAATGCGATCTGATAGTGAGATAAGCTCTTATAGATACACAATTTATGTTTCTGCTGTCTAAAAATGGCATTTGGCCATATTTGTAACACATTATTGTTTTATTACGCTTTTTCTGGTATATCCATGCATGATAGAAATTGTTCACTTTTGGAAACACATTATTGTTAAAATATATTTTGTACTAAATGTACTAATTCAATTTAGAGATACAAAACAGTTTAAAAGAAACCAGATTTATGTGCACTACACTGTACATCGCTTTAATTGTTTATCCAAAATAACAACAGCTAAGGAAAGAAACTGTTGTCTTGATATCAATCGCAGAGAGAACAGACACACTGTGACTTTGGTGGCACTTTGACCTGGTGCATCTAGAAATTCCATTACATCCCATAAGTCACTCCAGGTCCTCTTAACTAAAGCTATTCATCTATTTGGCAGTGTTGAAATGCACATGTGTGCAAGGTTGCCTTGGGTCAGGAGATACAAGTAGAAGAGCATTAGATACCAGTTGGCTGGAAAAGGGAGAAATTTACTGAGGCATCGTAACAGCTGGAATAAAACAACTGACACCAGATAAAGGAAAATAGAAATAGTTGATATTTAGCATAGGACAGTTACTAGTTGGAATACTAACGCATTTTTAAGAAGTCCTTTGCATAATTCATTTTTCCACAAAGGGATATACTCATTATGTACACCCTTCACCCCAATTTCCATGCCCCATACCCGATTCAATTGTACATGGTTCCCTAATCTAAGCATTGTCTAATCATAGAAGAGGATAAAGGGTGAATTCCTTGTCTCATTTCAGAAGGAATGAGGCAATGAACAGTTTATACTCTTACCTGAAACAATGTCTAAACACAGATAATTGAATAATTACAACATTTTTGTTTGGCTGTAGCTTTATAGCCATTGCTGGCCTGTGTGCACATGATTATCTCTGCTGTTGAAGGCAGAATTTCAACCCTGGATTCCTTTTCCTACTTGTACTGTTATTTACAATAAAATATAACCATGGTTGCCACAGAGCCAAGCTCATCTGTAACCGGAAGGTTGCCGGTTCGATTCCCCTGCTCTCTGTCCTGGTTGTTGTGTCCTTGGGCTAGACACTTTACCCTACCCCCTACTGGTGTTGGCAGCGATATGGCAGCCTCTATCATTATTATTATATTTTGAATACTATTTAAAATGTTAAGCCTAGAAGAGAGAAAAACAACACGTTTATCTGTGGAAACATCCTGCAGTGAGGAGCAGAGAACTCTTTTCCAGTCCGATGAGCTCTCTTGCTTCTGTGCAAAGATGAGACCCATGGGACGGCAAAGGTGGCAGTGGGGTGAGAGGAGCATGTATGTGGTGGTGTGTGTAACTTACACTAAAAGGTATACTGTAATAATATGGACAATCAATACTGAACACAACAACTGTGTGTTCACTGTTGATGATTTTCTTGATTTTCGTGTTACACTTAAATTGTCGGGCTGGGTGTGGTTCAGATCTACCACTCAGGCAATTTGTTGTTTGACCCCTGACCCCTCCTCTTTATGTATCAAAGTATCCTTAGGCAAGATACTGAACCCTGAGTTTCCCCGATCCATCTGTCAGAGTATGAGAGATGAGATGAGATGGCCTTTATTTGTCAGTTGCAGGTCTTTTGCAGGTCCTAACCCTAGAGTATGTTTGAATGTTAGATAAAAAGGCTTAAAAGGTACAGATAAATGCACCACCTGAATGTTTGTATGATTGGGTGAATCTCAAATTCAGTAGAAAGGCAGTATATCAGTACGAGTTTTCATACCTTTTCTTTTGTGCATACCCCTCTCATGTTTGTAAGCAAAGACTTTAAAACACACAGGTTATTAGGGTTCTTGGCAGAGAGAGTACTCGTATCTCATGTGAATTAGTTAAAATTAATTCAGTTCACCATATCACTGGATAGTTCCACTGATCCACTCATAGCTTGTTTTTGGCCTTGCTAAAAAGGGTGTAACGGCCGTACATCTATTTTAGTTTGCTTCATCATTTCCCCTTTTTTATAAGTAAACATCCACCTGTGTCTGGAGACTTGTTTTACACCATGTAGCATTTTGAGAAGTCATTTTCACAGAGCTTTCATAGTACAGATGTCTTTGAGTTATTGCTCAGCTTAGTCAAATTATCTCTAATTGTATTTGTAGGAAGACAAGGCTACTTTTTAATGGAAGTTAATTCACAAGTCCTTGTGATGCATAAAAAATTTCCTTGTACCTGTAATTTATTCTGACTCATGTGTAACAGAGCACTATCCGGGGCCAGTAAAATTCACATTTTTTGGTTGAGTTTTACATGATCTTTTCTGAAAAACATTTGTGCAGTTTTCTGTATGTAATCATAAACATGTACGTTGATGTTGAATGTGTCTTCCTTCCTCTTTTCCTCTCCTCAGTCTTTATGGCAGACACATGCAGGCCAACCCAGAACCACCCAAAAAGAACAACGATAAGAGTAAGAAAATCAGCCGCAAACCACTGGCTGCCAAAAACAAGTGAAGAAGAAATAAGAGGATGGAAAATCAACACTTATTTAGCAGCCAGATTCACTGCATGTGCCTTTTGTGCTCCTTTTTTGTTAAAACCCTGTATTGCAGTTAAATATATGAAGAGTGTTTCTGCCTACAATGTGTCATTTGGGCTTGTTAACTCTCAGAGTCTCTGTATTTATGATTTGTTACTTACAGGAACTTGACATGTTACAATTGATAAAGATTGCAAAAAAGCGCAAATTGATTTAAGTACAAAACAAATTACTGTAATGTTATCTTTTAGGAAAAAAGGATTTTCTATATACCAAAGGAAAAAACTGAATTAGGATGATTCTACTTTTGTGTGAAAAGAGCTTTTAGGTATTTCAGAAACATTGTTAGGAGAGTTCAGATACACATGTTCTGTTACTTTCAAACTTTCCTATTTAATTATTATAATCTAGCGTAATATTATGGTGCATATAAAAAAATGCATTAACAGCTTATTTAGATGTTGTCATACATTTCGATACATTTGTTTTTATTCGTGCCTAAACTATGGAAACCGGTTAAGCCATTGTCAGTATATCTATCATGTTGCCTGTTGTTTACCAATGCCTTGTAATGAAGCATCAATTTTTTTTCTGTAGCCATCTTCATCTTTGGAAAAATTACACAACCTGCAAAGGAGATCTAACTATGAAACTGAGAGACACTGCAATCATGCATGCCAGCCCAAAATCACCCCCTGATTTATCATGCTTTTTACAGTATTAGGGACCATAATGTACAAAATTAACACCATGTTATAAGACTTGAAATTAACAATTATTAGTGTTAAAGGAAATGTTGGCTGAGGATATCTATCAAGTGATCAGAATGATCATGTTTATGATCTGGCTGCAATCTGAGGACCTGATGTCCATTAGAAGGAATACAGATTTAAGGTATACACTAGCTTTAGCCTTGGAATTATCGTCCGTCCACCTATGGTGAAATCTGCCATTAACTGTATTCATTCCACTAATGAGAAGAATTTCAAATGAACATGAAATATTATGTTTGAATCCCTCTGTGCTTTCCGTTTCACGTTTTCTCTCACATTCTGTTTTTCAATGCCAAATATTTCACGATCTTTCTGAATGTGTGAATGTAATCCATGTTAAGCTTTTAAGCCAGTTCAAAACATGCTGGTCATTAATTGTACTCACTGCATTTCAGCATTTGCAAATAAAAAAGGGTACTTTTGTATTTTTCATTTTAGATTTGAGTACTCTACTTCCTACAAAATACAGTGGAGGTGCAGATTTCTTTGCATGTATTTCTTTCTAGAAACAGCAACGGCAATTGAGATAAAGGAAACCAGCTGAAAAAGAATCAGTGTTTTTGATGCAAAAGTAAAATCTTTTTGCCTGTCTTCTGAATGTGATCTTTTGAATTGTTTTCATTTAATTTCATTTATTTATATAGCGCCAAATCACAACAGCAGTTGCCTCAAAATGCTTTATATTGAAAGGTAAAGACCCTACTATAATAGAGAGCTACAGAGCTACAGTCTAGGAGCTACAGTGGGAAGTAAAAACACCCTTTTAACAGGAAGAATTCTGTTAAAAACTTTATATATATAATTTGTAAAACTGAAGATTTGTTACTAAGGATGTGTTACAAACATATATCCTTAAGCCCACTCTATTTACAGTCATTTCTCCTGCATCTCATTTGGTGGATGTTGTACCAGTTTTGCCCTTACTTCATCTCAATTCATCTCACACTTTTCCAAGGATACAATAGTCCCAGGCTTACTAAAGCCCATTGATTTTCACAAGGTGATTTATAGGTGGCGTGCACGTTAGGGCAGACTTGATTGTATAAGGGAGGCTGCAGAGTGCCACTTTAATGAGGATGGTGACACAGGGTTGAGAAGTAAGCACCCAGCTTACCACAGGATGAACCACGATTATATAGCTGCTGTTTTTCTTTAGCTTAACAACCAAAGGTACAAAGCATGTTCTAACACAGTTAGGTTCATAAATATTTGGACAGTGACACACTTTTTGCATTGCTTCCTCTGTACATCATCGCAGCGCACAAAAAAAAAAATCGAACCTAAATTAAAATTAAAATGAATACTTCAACAATTCTGTTTTGCAGTGTTAGTCAGTAAGTGACTGGCTGCTCCTGTATGGGATTAGAACAATGCCACCCTATCCCATGGTCCAGCCAGTGATGCGATTCACATTCGTATATACGTCCTTATTCGTCCTTATGTGCCGACACCAGTGTTTTAGCTAGCAAAGCGGCGTGACTGATGTGGAGTGAAGCCACGTTAATGACAACGTGTACAACCATTAATAGCAGGAGCAGGACAGACGGAACAATTGACGGAAAAAGTGTGGACTTTATACCAGTTTTTAAATTGTGTTGATCGGCCACGTGAAACCAGAGTTATGATAAAAAATATCTGCAATGTTTGTTTTTCTTCCTGAATACTGTCGTTGTTTATATTTAAACGGTAAAAACGGCATTTTATAAGGAAAGCGCTTGACAGCACTCTCCACCTGTGAGCAAAAACAAAACCAAAAAAAACCCCACCCTTTCCTATTGGTCGAAAAATGTAACATGTCACCAATCAAAAAATGATATGGCAAAATGGCATTTAGTTGTTTAGGAAGGGGGAGGTTTTAGGAGTGACGGTGGTGTTTTGAGATGTGAGAGATTTGCGACGTTTAGCGCAAATCTTGTGTAGTTGTGCCACAAATAATTTGTGTGACATCAGATTTGATGCAGAACACCTGATTGTTCTGTAAATAGTTTGAAATGTTTATTTTTAAAAAATGCCTTGGATGCATTTTTAGGTAAACAGCTGCAAAAAACTTTGTCGTTTGCAAAACTCGGTTTCTTTTTTGAAGAAGTAACTATATAATTAATTGCCCAACATTGGTCATTATATACTGTATTTTGCAAACAGAGAGTTACAGGACTCTCTCCCAGACCACAGACTCATAATACAAGTCAGAGCTTTATACAAAAAAAAAAAGAAAAGAAATTTGCGTTTTCAAAATTGGAGTTCAAGTTATTTTTTACTTCCAGTAGTGTTAACATACTACACAGGTCATGAACAAGATTTTTTAAAATTGTCATTGTAAGTGGGCTAAAGCAGTTAATTAAAAGTAGTCTAACATAAATGCTGTAATTTGATTATTTTAATAAACCATGTAACTTGGATGATTCGATGCTGGCGTGACCACAGTGCACACGTCTGATGTCGCTCACAGTGGTCCAAGGGACGCTCAGGGAGTTTGTGTGTTCGCTCAGACACATGAAAAATTAGAGGTGTGACAAAGGGGATGAGCAGTTGCAATACTCTCCATTTGTCCCATATGTGTTGACCTTTTTTTTGCACATTATGCACATTATTCTGTTTCTATGTATTTGCTATGATTTGCTATTTGTCAAGTAACATTGCTGCACTCACTATCCCGGGTTTGTTTGTGTAAGCGTTTTGTTGCCGGCAAATCAAACATTCTGCAAATTAAGGCAAATACTCAGGTAGATGTTTCTTTATATTTTATTATGTTACAGATTAAGTCATTTGTTCATACTTACTTTGTTCTGTCTTTTCATTTTTCATGAGGGTCAGGTGTGGGGAAACAACTGCCTAGCATTTCCTCATTTTAAAATCCTGATGATGTCACACATGACATCAGCAGGTCAAACCAAGTGAAGGGGTTTCTTTTTCAATAGAAACGCTTCCTTTTGTTTGTGTTAAGGTTTAAAGGGATTTGTTGAATGTTTTTCTTTTCATTAATACTGCTATTTAGTTGTGTAAACGTGCATATTAAAAGTGTGAAGAGATTTTGTGTCTTTTTAATCATCTTTGTAGAGCTTTAGATCCCTCAGTTTGAGAGAGTGGTACTGGCTGGGCTAAGTGGAGGGAAATTGATGGCCCTATTTAAAGCCAGTCTCTACCAGATCCAAGAGAGAGGAGAGGTGAGCTGTGTTACCAGAGCCATGGTCTGTTGAGTTTTGTTAACTGAGTTAATTTGGGGGAAGTTTTGTTAAGTTACACATTAAATTAAGTTCACTGTAAATAAATTGCTCACCTCTTGAAACCTGAAATGTTTGCGTAGTCTGCTTCCCTACCACCTTCCTTGACGTTCGAATCTGACTACTTCACAAGAGGGAACACTGATCAAGACGTGATTGAATTGCAGACTTAATGAGCTTTAACAAAAGGATTGCAATTGTTTTGAAATTACAGACATTTTCTGAATTATATGGTCCCCAGTTTATAGGGAGTGAAAAATAATTGGACAATTGACTAAGAAGACATATCATGGCCAGGTGAGGTGTTTCACCTTGCTATGCCATTCCACATTAAACAGATAAAAGACTTACACTAACTGTCCCTTTGCTCACTGGAACTTTCAATATAAGATCCAAAACGAATGTCATTATAAAGCAAAAAAACCTATCAAAGAAAAACGAAAAATTATAATGGTCAAATCAACAACCTGGTGGATTTTTAAAAAGGAAAAATACACTGACCAATGTAACCAAGTGGTTACAGTAAAGATTCCTGAAAAGTTAATTCAATTTTTTTATTACCCCCCCTTAAATTAAAGCTGAAACTTGGGACTTCAATTAAATTTTCATTATACCAATGTTTACATGTCAGCAATTTGCCATATTAAAGAAGACTTGGAACTCTCAACTAATGATCATTAGGTCATTTATTCTTAATGTAGGAGCCATATGAGTGGTTTCCGTCTGACTAAGTGGGTTGGTTTAAATGGACTCACTATATTGGTGCATGGGTGTTGGGTGTGTCTCATGGGTGTGGTAGATAATAAATGTGGTTGCACTCACCTGTTCACTTCACCTGATGTTGATGAGCAGAAAGGTAGGGTGAGCAGGAGGCAAAACTTTCTGTTGACCGCAGCTTGAGCGCAGCTTGAATGATTTGATGTATTTTAACTGTAACTTGATGGTTTTGTATATTTGTGCACTAATTGATACCATAGACCAAGTTGTAATTTGATTTAGTAGTTAGTGCAGTTATTATTGAGTTGCAGTTATTTGTTTGTGCAGTCTGTGCATTTGTTAATCCCATGTCCTCGATTTGTATAGTGGACAGTTGCATATGGAATAAAAGGAGCAAATGATACAGAAGTGTATTTTATGCGTTTATTGTTGCGCGTCATCTGTGTCCTCATGTTTAGCCTGCTGCGGCCATTGGTTGGTTGAGCCACAACACTTAAAACACTTCAACTTAATTCAATTCAACAATCATATTCACAAACTTGGACATGTCCATTTTATAAAATATTAGCTCATTTTGAATTTGATACCAGCAACATTTCTCCAAAAGTTGGGATAGAGGCAACAAGCCTGAAAAAGTAAGTGATACTTAAAAGAAACAGCTGGAGGAACATTTGGCAACTAATCAGGCTAACTGAAAACTGGTCGGCATAACTGGTATAAAAGAGCATCTTAGGGAGACTGTGTTTCTTAGAAATAAATTTGAGTAGAGATTCGTTAATTTGCAAAAAGCTGTCTACAGATTGTGGAACAATTTAAAATGAACGTTCAGCATAAGATTGTATCGTCAAAAGATTTTGAGAATCTGCTGAAATCTGTGTTCAAGGGACAAGGCAGAAAATCGGTGTTGGATGGCTGTCATCTTCAGGCCCTTAAAAACAGGCATGACTCTGTCAAAGAAATCACTGCAAGGGCCCAGGAGCACTGTCTGAAAACAGTTTGTCAACTCAAGTGATGACCTGTAACAGTCACAGCCATCAGGTAATGAGACAATGGTATAATGAGTTGCCTGGAAAATTATTCCTGACAGCTCTTTGGAACCAACAGCTGGGTGTTTTCTTCCCCATTGGAAGTGTCACAACTCAATTGAAAAATTCTGTCCCACTCATTGCAAAATACCATTTGGCCATCATCTCAATGTCAACATTTGCTTGAGGGCAAACTCCAGTGAAAAATTTCTCGTCTGTTTCCACGGGCCTCACGTACCTTGAGCCTTGCATCCATGGGAAGAGGAGCCAGTTAAATATTGCCTTCAGTGTGCTGCTAGCCTGAGGCTGCAATAGGTCCTGCTGCCTCAAGTCCGCCACTGCCTGCTTCTGATGCATAGCTGCCAGATCTTCCATCATTTAAACCAAGGTTGGCACCAGCTGTACAGGCTGTGGGTCTGACAGCCTTGTGGGAGGCATTTAGCACCAGTGTAGCAAGTTACGATGCCATCTCTAAAACTTTGGGACTTCAGCAAACCAGGCCGAGACCTATTATCTACAAATAGAGGAAACCTGAAACTGTGGAGAACCTTTTCAGGAGTGGTACCAAATCTTATTCAGAGTGCATTAACAACTCGTTCAGGATGTCACAAAAGAACCCAGAACAACATTTACACAACTACTGACCTCACTTTTTTTCTGTTTAGGTCAATGTTCAACATTCAACAGTAAGAAAGACACTGGGCAAAAAGGGCATCCATGGAAAAGTTCTAAGGCAAAAACCACTGGTGACCAAAATAACACAAAGGTTTTTCCCATATTCGCAAGTGAACATTTTAATGATGAATCACAATTTCAATCACTATCAGAATACTTCATTAATCCCTAAGTTAATTATTATGCTCTCTACCAAAAAATCCTGAATGTTCTGGCTCTGAAGCTCGAGTGCACTTCAGTTATGCAGGAAGACAATGGTCAGAAACATACCAGCAAATCCATCTCTGTATGTTTCTGTCAACAGATGTATTCTAAAGACATTTGGAGAGACCTTGTCAACTCGAACTAAGAAATAAGATCTAATAATGTGGTAATTTAAATATATTTATATAATGTACAAGTTATTAGAACTCAATTACCAAAGTAATAACTTATCAATATCAAAGTAATATCATATTAACAAAAAAGAAAAAAGTTGGCAGTTGACGCCCAACTTCTCCTTTGTCTTTATCCAGGAATAGAAATAGAAATTGCAGAATCCCAGTAGGTAGTAGTCTGCCACCTATCTATTATAACAGAGGCTAACAGCTGAAAATTGAGCCTATCCTATTTGAAACTTCACATTGTTTTCTGTGGTACTTTCTCAACACATCTCCATCACACAAAAGGACAGTAAGTTATGCCCTTACTCCAGTATCCCAAGATTCTTGTTTATATGTTGGCCAGAAATAACTCTTCTTTTTGCTTAAGGAATGGTGTCCACAAATGCAAGCCCTTAACTCGGTTAAACTTTCTGCCTTGAAGGCTTCATATCTAGTAGCTAATACTATTACCAAGGGGTGGAAATGCCATTAGATATTGGAGAGAAATAAAGGACATATGCCTGGAAGCTGCAGCTGCTAAAGCTGGGCAAGGTGCAAACTGATAAGGCAGCTGAAAATGTTTTTACTAGGTCCATCCTTATGATATACAATTTATGTTTATGTGTTCACAGATGTGGAAATTAGGCTTTCTTGTCTATGTGTAGTGCATCAAGATGACTTGCAAGAAGATTTATTGTTTGCCTTAACATCACTATAGGGAAAATATTTAAAGCAACTGAAATTATGAACTAAAGCTTTGAATTTGGTTTTTGTGCTTAGACCAATGGTCTTCTGCAGTGAGAAGCCACTTATCTGGCTTGACTGCAGAGAAGCTGAACACAATACTGTGAGGCCACCACTTTTACATTCCTCATAAAATGGTGGCCAGTAAAAACAATCACTGGAACAAATTAAGGTTATTTTGAAGTTATTAAAGCAATAATTAATTTTAATACCCAAATCTGTCTCAAGGTGGAGAATGAAATCCTGGACTTGAAACAGAGCTTAGTCAAAGATTTGGTCTTGATGTGGTCATATCTTTGAACCACATTACCTGGACAGTTTTGTGGGCTGTGGAAATAAGCCAGGGATTTGAAACCAGTATCTTAATTATTGTGCCACTGTGCTGGCACACATACTGAGTGACCACTCTTCTGTACCAAGGACAGTGCTTGTGTTAACCACTGTTCATAATAGTATTATTTTTATCCATTCCAGATTGCCAATCTTGGTAGCTGAGGATTGGTCTGCCAGGAACTCCTCCTGCAGGTGGATGGGCCCATGTCACCTTTTCGGGCTGTGCCCGACCGGGCCCCATGGATAAAGGCCTAGCCACCAGACGCTTGCCCTTGGGCTCAGGCCTAGCTCCAGGGCGACTCAGACGCCAGCAAGGTGGAGGTGGAGTACTGGTTTGGGCTGGTATCATCAAAGATGAGCTTGTGGGGCCTTTCCGGGTTGAGGATGGAGTCAAGCTCAACTCCAGTCCTACTGCCAGTTTCTGGAAGACACCTTCTTCAAGCAGTGGTACAGGAAGAAGTCTGCATCCTTCAAGAAAAACATGATTTTCATGCAGGACAATGCTCCATCACACGCGTCCAAGTACTCCACAGCGTGGCTGGCAAGAAAGGGTATAAAAGAAGAAAAACTAATGACATGGCCTCTTTGTTCACCTGATCTGAACCCCATTGAGAACCTCTGGTACATCATCAAATGTGAGATTTACAAGGAGGGACAACAGTACACCTCTCTGAACAGTGTCTGGGAGGCTGTGGTTGCTGCTGCACGCAATGTTGATGGTGAACAGATCAAAACACTGACAGAATCCATGGATGGCAGGCTTTTGAGTGTCCTTGCAAAGAAAGGTGGCTATATTGGTCACTGATTTGTTTTTGTTTTGTTTTTGAATGTCAGAAATGTATATTTGTGAATGTGGAGATGTTATATTGGTTTCACTGGTAAAAATAAATAATTGAAATGGGTATATATTTGTTTTTTGTTAAGTTGCCTAATAATTATGCACAGTAATAATCACCTGCACACACAGATATCCCCCTAAAATAGCTCAAACTAAAATCTAACTACAAACTACTTCCAAAAACATTCAGCTTTGATATTAATGAGTTTTTTGGGTTCATTGAGAACATGGTTGTTGTATTTTTGAGGAATAATTTTATTATTGAACAACTTGCCTAATAATTCTGCACTCCCTGTACATTTGGGTGTGAATAGTAGAAACGTGTGAAGAGGCTGAAGCTTCTGAGTTGCTGCTGCAAATATCTGTAGATCTCTTGGCTGCACAGTTCTGTAATCAAGGGGAAGTTGAAAAGCTCAGTGGGCAAGACTGTTCAGAAGGAGGAATTGAGCAACAGAATCATTGGGGAAGGCAGTCCAGAAGTGAAAAAGAATTGAGAGGTGTGAGAAATGGCTAAAACTATGTGGAAGCAGAATTTACAGGAGGCAGGGCAGAGTGGCAAGGCAGTTCTGTAGGATTCACAAGCTGGCCTACAGACACTCAAAGCAACAGGCACAAATGGTGCAAATCATGGAAAACATCATTAGATTGTTTAATCATTTTACAATCAGTCCAGTTTCACTATTAATTTTTAAATGCCATTGCACATATTTATTTAATCTAACATTGCACTGCAGCAGATAACATACAGTGGTGTGAAAAAATATTTGCCCCCATCCTGATTTCTTATTTTTTGTATGTTTGTCACACCTTAAATGTTTTAAATCATCAAATAAATGCAAATATTCGGCAACGATAACACAGGTGAACACAAAGCGCAGTTTCTTTAATGAAGGTGTTCAGTATCTGGAGTTGACTCTGGACAGGTTGCCAGTCTGACGCAGCTAGAATCGCCATCTACCCAGAGGTAATTGGAGAGAGCATGATTTGAACCCAGGATCTCCTTGTGCTGTACCACTATGTTGGCTATAATCTACAAACCATGTTTTGCATTTTAGACTTTGATTGGAATGCTCACCAAGGCTAGTGCTTATTTACTCCAAATTTTGACCCTAGCGTCTAAATGTGGGACCAGCTTAATTAATGTGGTTTGTTGAGCCTGTCCAAATTGAAGTTCACTGTTCTTAGATGACTGAAGTGGCACCTAGTGTGGACTTTTATGACTCATCTGCTTAAAGGTTTGATGTGTTATGCATTCACAGATGCTTTTCTACATACCTTGGTTGTAACAAGTCATTATTTCAGTAACTTTTGCCTTCCCATCAGCTTGATGCAGTCTGTCCATTCTCCTCTGACCTCTTGCACCAACAAGGCATTTTCGCTCAGACTGCAGCCTGCTGGATATTTTCTCTTTTTCAGACCATTTTCTGTAAACCCTACAGATGACTGTGCGGGAAAATCCCAGTAGATCAACAATTGGCACCAACAACCATGCCATGTTCAAAGTCACTTAAATCCCCTTTCTTCCTCATTTTGATGCTCAGTTTGCACTTCAGCAGGTTGTCTCTAAATGCACTGAGTTGCTGCCATGTGATAGGCTGATTAGTTATTTGTGTTAACAAGCAGGTAAACAGACGTGGCTTGTGAGTGTATGTGATACACTTGATTCTGTATGTGACAACATGAGTGTAGAAAAAAAAATTCTACTGAATTTTATGTCTATAAAGTCCTTTCATGATTCATACATTGTTATAATAAATGTATCAATGCAATTATCAGTTTTACTTAAGAAGTTAATTTGTTTAAATTGCTTACATGTTTAAATGATTACATTATAGTTGACTACTAAATATCATAAACGTAAAAGTATAAAAATATGAAAATGTACAAAATATTCACATGATATAAATCTGCTATAAGGTAGGTTAAATAAGTCTACAAAATAACTTCTTTTGATTTTAAATCATGATGAAATGTTTCTGACATTAAGATCTCCCCAAACTTCGATTTATTACATTCTGTTATCCATATGAAGGAATTTATATGAATTTTGTGTTCAGCAGCTTAAATTAAATGTTTATTAAGATGGCAAATATAGACTATTTCTTCTCAAGCTTGTACAGCTGCTGTTTCATTCTCTGGGTTATGGAGGACGATTAATGACTTGATAAAATTCATGAAATTTTCAGAGCAGACTAAACAGAAGGCAAATGACAAATCTCTGGATTACATTTGATCTAGAAAGAAAAAAAACGGACATTTCTTTTCTTTAAACAACCTTCCCTATTCCTATTGGATAACAGAACATCTCCCCCCCCTCCCCGGCGCTTCTGCGTGGACTCTTGGAGCACCCTGCAGACGCTTTAACTGATCCTGATTCACCTTCAGTTTGAGGTCTGTGGATCAAAAAGGAGCAGACCGCGTATCTCTCTTGGACAGCGTGTCGGAGATGCTAAATCAAACGGTTTGGGAAATCGCAGACTTCTAAACGGACCAACTTTCTGAGAGACTTGAATAATCAGTGCATCAGCAGGAAAAGTGTGGAGAGGGGAGAGGTGAGGATACAGAGGGGAGGGGGGCTGTACTTTAAAAGTTAATTAACATTAGCAAAAAAGTGTAGCTGTGCTACATTTTTTTTTCTTTATAAGGGTCTGCTACCTAGCCAGCAAAATTTCACCTAAAAGCAGACAACAGGATCGTCCTGCGCTGACGCGGCTGGTCGGCAGGAAGCGGCTGGTGGCGGCGGGGGTCCTGGGGGTCGTTATGGTACTGGTTTTGGTCATTCTCATCCCTGTTCTAGTCAGCTCAGCGGGGACAGCTGCACACTACGAGATGCTCGGTACTTGTAGGATGGTGTGTGACCCATACGGCACCAAATCTCCAACCAGCACTGCCACAGCCGATACCGTGCGCGACAACAGCTTAATGCAGTCTTTACCCACTTTTATCCAAGGTCCGAAAGGAGAACCGGGCCGTCCGGGTAAGGTAGGGCCAAAGGGATTGCCAGGTGAACAGGGACCACCCGGTCCAGCCGGCCCACCTGGTGAAAGAGGTGAACCCGGCAGACCCGGTTTACCGGGACCTCCGGGACCGAGCGGTGCTGCCAGTGCTATTAGCGCGGCCACCTACAGCACCGTACCCAAGATTGCGTTTTACGCAGGGCTGAAAAAACAGCACGAGGGTTACGAAGTACTCAAGTTTGACGACGTGGTGACCAACCTGGGAAACCACTATGACCCGACCACTGGAAAGTTCACGTGTTCCATCCCTGGGATTTATTTCTTCGCTTACCACGTCCTGATGCGCGGAGGGGACGGCACAAGCATGTGGGCTGATCTGTGCAAAAACAATCAGGTAAAACAAACGGCACGTAGAAGCAAAGATTTAAAGCAAACTCTGCAGTTCCACGAGGTTTCCATTGTTAGGCGTGCGTGTCCACAGTATCTGACTTTAATTTAACACGTCACATTTTGTTAGGTACATTTGATACATCTCTGGACTATCTACAAGTTAGCAGCCATATATATCCTAATATAAAAACATTTAAAAGTTCTCGACAGCAACTGAACTAATGTAAAAGCCTATTGATAGACCTGCAGTATGCAAATAAGAGGTGAACAAGCGTGCTGTCAGCCAATCTAACAGAGAAACAGTGGAACTAAACGAAGTGGAGTCTGTGGTTTTTGGTGAAACCGCAAGGCAGTGATGCTTAGACTGAGCAATGCATTTCTACGAGAGGCAAAATACAGTGTTGGCCACCTAATAGGACAGAAGAGAAGATGACACTAAGTAATATTTATACTAAGTGCAATGGTTAGAGAAACAATAAAGAATCCGACAGGATCTTTGTACAGCTTCTCTTTGAAATGCTTTTTGACTGATTAAATGAGAACAAGAGTGTTTTTTATCATCCAGTAGCCACATATATTTAGGAGTACAAACAAACCCACACAACTTTACCAGTGTACTTTATAATGATATTTAGACAAGTCTAATCTTCAAACTGGCTAGTGAGTTCTATTCCAAACAATAGAGTGCCATGGTATTTGTGCATTTGATTAATTTTAGCTGTTTAGGTAGTAAGATATGTAACCGTAGTTTGTTTAAACCTCTACATGTTAGCAAAATAAATCACTAAAGAATATACATAACAATAGATTTTGCACTCACTGTCCAACATCTCAAGTAATATGGATTCCAAATCCACGGCCTGAATAAAGGAAATAAGAAAGAAAAATGAAATATACGACAATAATTTACCCCAAAAGTACATCACATAAAGGTATTTTATGATACAACAACAATAATAATAAAAGTAAAAAACTAATAATGACGATAACAATAATAATAATTACAGACCGAGTGAACTACAGAAGCCATTTACTGCCTCTGTTTCATCTGGTATGTGTTTGTTCCATCACGGTGTCCTGCTCTCTGTGCGTCTCTGTAGTGATCAGGCTGTCAGCGATAGATCTAATCTGTGGGGCAAACCAGTGTTGCAGCACCGCTCCACCAAGCACATCTCTTCTGCCTGTCAGCCGACTACTGTAATACTGCTGCAAAGCACAAGGAATACAGCAAACATCTTTGGGATTAATGCAGTAGAACTGCACACCATGACAAATCAGATGCTGAAATACATATTTCAATTAGGGTTACTGGTATTGGGATTTTTGACCATATATTCAGAGTGTCATGGAGGAAAATAAGCAAGACCTGCTGAAGTGATTGTTACGATTATTCCTAAAATGTTGTCAAAAACAAATATACTTGTGAAAAAATTTAAATCAGCCTTATCAAGTAATTTTGTCTTTGGAAGGTACTACAACTCTTTGAGACATATTTTAGATTGAAAAGGAAATTCTGAGGAGACTGTTCAAAAACTCAAACATGATTTATCTTCAAAATGTAAAGTGGCCTTACATCTTACATATAACTATGTGTGTTAAATGTGGACTGCATAGTGTGACTGTCAAGTAAAGGTGAAGCTCTCCGGTTCTTGATTTTCTCAGATTCTGCAAAGAAAGATGCATCCGTCTTTGCCTCTTCCTCCATATGCAGGCTCTATCAGGCTATGAAAAAAATTCTTAGATATCATTTGCTAAATACTGATGAAACCACTCCATATTTTAAGCCAACTTATTAAAAAAAAAGATAGAGTTAAGATTTATCATATCCTAAGTTCTGTGGCATTCTGTGCACTAATCCTGGTCTGAGTTTCAAGTTTGTTCTTTTACATTTATGTTTTGAGACAATTTAAGTTCACTGCATATGTGTCATCCCACTAAGTCAGTTAATTTAGAAGAAAAGTAAGTAAGCACAGTTTATTTATATAGTACTTTTCACAGACATATGTCACAAAGTGCTTCACAAGAAAGGTAAAAAAACACAATACACAATACAATACAGTCATAAATACATCATAAAAACCCTGGTCTAATTAAATGCTTTTTGAAATAAAATTTCTTTAGCTGCTTTTTGAAGGTCTCCACCGAGTCCACCGTAGAAATAGTCCACAGTCTGGGTGCAACAGTATGAGAAGCAGAATTAAACCGTGAGTGCATTTCATTGTTGACTCTGTAAGATTAAATTATTATTTTTAAATTTTCTGTTGTTGCCTTTTCTCAATATGACTTTTATATGACCGAATAATAAAACAAGCTTTAAAAATGTAAATTGACACCTAACAGTAACCACAAATAAACAAGATGTTACAGTGATAGTCGTAAACCAATTATAAATATTTATGTACTTTTCTTTAATTCCATGCTGTTTTATAGTACATTAGGTATTCCATACAATAATAATCAGGCTCATCTTATCATAAAGACCTCATACGTATCACCCCAAAAGAACCCGCTTTCAGACTGCTGGTTTAATTGTGGTTCATAAGGTATTTAAAAGTAGGATGGGAGGCATCGAGCTTCCAGCTCTCAGACACCTTCTTTATTTTAAAGATTAGGCTTAAAACTTTCCTTTTTGCTAAAGCATATAGTTAGGGCCTGAATCCCCCCTTAGTTACACTGCAATAAGTCTATCCTACTGGGGGCTTCTCGTGAGGTACTGAGTGTTTCCTCTTCACTGAACTTTATCACTCACTATGTTTTTGTACACCTCTCTGCATTTAATCATAAGTTATTATTAATCTCTGGCTCTCTTCCACAGCATGTCTGTCCTGTCTCCCATCACCCCCAACTGGTTGTGGCAGATGGCCGCCCCTCCCTGAGCCTGGTTTTGCTGGAGGTTTCTTCCTGTTAAAAGGGAGTTTTTCTTCCCACTGTCACCAAAGTGCTTGCTCAAAGGGAGTCATATGATTGTTGGGTTCTTCTCTGTATGTATTATTGTAGGATCTTTACCTTATCCAATATAAAGCACCTTGAGGTGACTATTGTGTGATTTGGTACACAGATAAAATTGAATAGAATTATTCTATATTACAGATCTATCCATGTGTTTGGACTGTGTGAGAAAGGTGGAGTACCCAGAAAGAACATTTCGATCCCACAACCTTTGCAGTGCTAACCACTGTACCGCCTTCTGAGTTTAGATAGATATTTTAAATGTTCTAAACTTTTTACTTTATATGAACGCTCAAAGGGATTTTTTTAAAAGTAATATTCAGACACACACCTTCAAACAGTTCTGTACTCTATGCATTTAAGGGATTAATTATTATGCGACAGCAGTGAATCCAGTGGGAGCAATTTGGGGCCCTGTGACAAGCAGAATAAACTAGCCAGCTGTCCACCAGCTTAGAATACAGGACCGTTTTGCCATAAGGTGATAAGCAATAACCACTGTAGCATCTTGCTGCCCACACTACTTGTAACGGTAACGCTGACGTTATGCAATATATATATACAAAACCTTTTATTCTTCTCAAATAACACAAACATACTTTACCTATTGTAATGCTGAACAGCCAACAAATACAGTAAACCTGTATGGTTAAGGTAATATCAAAGGAACTAAATCCACTCATTTTATATTCATAACAATAACAATAATGATTAAAGGAAACCACGCTGACTCATAGAAGACAGGATGTCAGCATTGAGTTCATATGCATGTGGAAATAATCTCATCTTCTAGTAGTTTTCTAGACTAACGCATACAAAATAAATAAATAAATAAAAATAAATACTTCTTGCTGGAACTGCACTACGCCATGCTGCGTTGAAGTTGAAATTTTTTGCTGTTTTCAAGTACATAAAAAATATGTTTCACTGAAGGGTTTTGTGATGCGCTTTCATACTATCTTAATACTATCTAAATCTGCTCTAACCACAGCCATCTCATAGAGATTAACATTTTAATGGATTCCTCCTTTAGCCACACTCCCTCGGTTTTCAAAGTTAAGCAAAACAATAAAATTTCGATGTACACTCTACAACGACTCCACTAGTGTGGCCTTTTGCCCTTCACCATCCCGGTCTTTTGAAACTGTGACATATTTATTCAAATGAGAGATGTGAAGTCAGTAAGTTAATGTTAACAGGAGATAGCTGTGTTATTAAGGTGCATTCATTAATCTCTATGCAATTAATTAAAAATCTAGTCAAAGTTAGTGAAGAACATTTTGCATCTTGTAGTATAACTGCAGGCTAAACAAGCAGAGGTTTGACTAGCTGGTGGACTCTGCATTCATACTGTAATGAGTTGTCACTCACAAAGTTGCCTAAAGCACAATTTAATTGTAGTATTTTAATTTGATTGGAACCATAATTTACAAATTGTACTTTATTTTGTATTATTTTGTATTCAACAACAGATACTTCTTAATCAGGAATTTATCCACTTACCTCATTTTCTCTCAGATGCAATCAGAATTTTATTTTGAAATGAGAGGCGCGTTCCTCTGGGTATTCAAATGGACACAGCTTTTAATCACTCTCTGGTGGCTCCATGCATATGTTACATACTGCACACTCCAGTGGGACACGTTTGTTTGTCCAAAAATATGTCTAAAAGTAAGAGCTAAGAAGAAAAAACAAACTGGCCTAATATTGGTGACCACAACATATAAAGAGGATGCAAACAATTTGCAGAAAACACACCTCTGTCGTACTTCAGAAGTACTGTTTTAATATTAACTATTCACAAAACATTTGTGACTATTTGTTATGCTGAACCTCCACCACAGCTGAAAAAGCTTTAAGGAATGATTAAAGCAATATTGTTGGCATACTTGGACAAAATGTTCACTTTTGATCATTACTGTAGAATTTATCTCTAATGTGATTGCAATTCAAAGTAAGAGTCCAGTGAATTCAGCTGAAAAGCTGAGCTCCATGTTTTCAGCAAAAGGAACTTCTAATTGTGCATGTGGAGCCTCGAGAAATATTTAAATGTGA